ATGCGTGCACGGTAGAGTGTACTATCATAAATATCTCTAACGTAGGTGTGAGGGAGATGAGTGGTGCCGGAGTGGAGAAATGGGAGGCCAGTCGCTTGGAGGCAAAACCCGTACGGGACAATTATATTCTTAAAAAACCACTGTAATCCCCGCGATGATATATTTTATATCCACATGAGTGAGATGATTTGGCGAGATGCGCCTTCTTGGAAAAAATATTTTTGGGGGGGTTGGGGAGGGGGGGGTGGAGTGTAGTGAAAAATAAATTCTTATTGTATAACTGGATTCGGGTCTCCATGAGGGGTAATAAAGCACTTTATTCTGTCATTTTGCCCAGATTTTTTTGCGAAACCCAGCCAGAGGTGGTTCAAGCTGGAGTTAATGGATTTGCCACAACAAAACCGGGCCGGCTACTTGAAATAAAGACCTTCCGGAGGGGGAAAGGGGTTCCGTTCAGGGGAGGTGGGTTGGGCGGGCAAAGCCCTTTGGAGTAAAAAAAACCGGCTTTTCACAGTGGGGGTCGTAATTTTCTCGAGGTTACAGACTTCCCGCGGGTCGGCATGGAATGCAATTCTCAGGGAGGGAGGAGAGTGAATGGACGGGAAGGGGTCATGGTGGGTGGGGGCCAAAAACATACGTGGTTACGGCCATGCAATTAACGGATGGGATAGGTGGGTAGGGGTCCCATTGGGAACTGCGAGTGAAAGCGCTCGACCCAGCGGTCCACACGTCTGTTGGTTAGTGGTCGGAGACTCAACCACCTCGCAAATAACCTCACTGACACCAGGCTTCCTAAGGCCAGTTGACCGAATGAGTTGGAAAAGCCTGCGAGTTTTGCCAGAGAGGGCAGCAGTCTCCATCTCTAAAGCACGTTCAGACCACCATGGCTCGGGATCCTTGCGTATGCTTTGCTTGAGCAGCAGGTTGGCAGAAAGGCGCCGCTCGTTGCAATCCGATTCTGCCGGGATATCTTTGCGGCGTTCGAACAGCTCCAGAGAACGAGCAGAGGTCCAAGCCTTTAAGGGGCGACGAGCTAGTCCGCAGCTGGCCTGCCGGAAACGGTCATCGCATTCTGTATACAAGTCCAGTGTTACTCCACATCTTGCGATGGATTGCAATTGAATGCGCATGCCAGTGAAGACTGATGGCTCGCTTGGACAAAGGAATCAGTTAATCTGTTTACATCACTCTTGCGGTGCTTCGTTTTTGGGGCCCCCAAAGCACATGCAGATTTTCGCGCGGACCAGGGTATGATCTGAGTCAACGAAGGCGGACCAAAAAGACCTGCAGTCCAGTACGCTGCCACCCTATCTGAAGCTATTTACAACGTGATCAATTTGAGACCACGGTTGTGTTGATGAAAGGGGACGCCACGTTGCGGAACGCTTCTTCATACGCCTGAAGTTAGTGCTCGAGAGAAACAGATGATTGTCTTCGCCAAATGTGAGAAGTCTCTCCCCGTTATCAGAGCGGTCCTCATCGAGCGCGTCGTGGCCATCAAGGTGGTGTTTCTATGGCAACAAGAGGCCAACCTGTGCAGTAAAATCCCCAGCAAGGATAACGTTTTGATTCGTTCTCCGAGCTGAGTAATTTAATGACAAATGTTTCACCACTTCCCTCAGTGGCATCTTCAGGATCCTGTGTACCTACTGCTGAGAAAGCGTGAAACTGAGCGGCCAAATATTGAACAAACAGAGGCTATGGGACACAGATCGACGAGGGCAATTTCAAACGCTACTTCCCGACGACATTTTCCGTGAGGTTTTCCTCTACGGAGTAGTGCACTGGAGATGCCACTGAGGGAAGTGGTGAAACGTTTGTCATTAAATTACTCAGCTCGGAGAACGAATCATAACGTTAACTACCAACCCGAGCTACAGGTATTCCGAATCATTGCAAAGGATAACGACATCCGACATCTTAGAATTAGTCAAGAGCTGATGTAGATACCGACAGAAGTCGTCCTTGACCGAGCCATTATTGCCGTCAGTTGGAGCGTACACGGAGAGTAGAAACAATTTGCGTCTTTCTTCGCGGCGCTCGTTGATTCTACATGTAACCCGAAGCCGAACTGCACACAGTCGACTGTAAACCGGGAACCAGTCCAGTAGTGCCGCCTCGGACTTGCCTCATAGTGCTATACCTACACCAGCCAAACCCACTGACGTTGCTTCTGAATCTCCAGAAAGACGCAGGTGATATCTGGCTTCGTGGTCAGCGGGAGATGTCAATGTAAACACAGTGCTGGGGTCTTACAATCGGGCATCTAAAAGGCTGCAGACATTAATGTTTAAGGATTCTAGGGTGTGCGCTAGACCGGCTTGCTGTTCAATATGCATGGGTGTCCGAACAGTGAAGCAAGCCAGACGGAAGGAGGATCGGGATCAAGGAGTCATAGGTTGAACTCCATGGTTCGCGGCGCAACCGGAATCGCAGCCAGATTTTTGAACACAAAAGGTGTAACGGAAAACAAGGATTGTTAGCAAACAAACAATTGGCGTGTGATGAAATCGCGTGAATGTAAGAAGAAGAAATGGTAGCCGATGAGCACGTTGGTTTTTTGAGAGGGCATCATAATATCCGGTTGCCCAAGACGAAGTAGGGAGTTGACTTAGGGGACCCCACCCCTAGCCTGTGGTTAAAAATCCACCCGCAAAGCAGAGGGGCGAATTCAGGGAATCGTGCCCATTGGGAGTCGCTGATTAAATGTTCAGTTCATAGTCTTTCGTTTGGTAGATTACCAAACAGGGGCTCAATACTCCCCATGAAATCAGGACAATTGCTGGACTACAATGTCCCACTGAGGTGGAACACTGTATCCGAACACTTCGATGGAACGGGGTACACCCGAACCATCCAGCTAGCACCAGGAGGTGGTTCGGCTAGCCAGTCAGCGAAGCTGTCAAGTGTAATGGTTGTGGATCAGAATTTCGCACATTGCAAAATCCCGTTATACACACCTTTTTACTTGAACAAACGATCGGCGACCATAGCACAGTAAATCTTCACATAGTCAACTTATCAAATCAGTAGATTGTTATGACCCAAGCGGTCAACCAACAGAGGTCCGGTTCCATAAAGTTTGTATGG